TGACTCAATCTGACTATTCAAGGTGCTGTCAAACTTAAATTAAAATGTCCGCCAAGAGGCACACAAACCCTTTGTTTGCTTGTCAAAATCACGTGTTTTGGATAGGCTAATAGAGGCGATTTTGGTACCATAGTTTGGTCTGTCAAACAGGTACCAATCAATTTCGGATGGGAGAATGATGCCGTCACAACAACTTTGATAGGCGGTTTGGTCTGTCAAATGCTATACTGCGGTTTGTAACTAGGTGCTGGGGGTTTGGTAGCTTTCTGTCTCTTTCTGTCCCATGTCTAAATAAACATATCAAAGTCAAAAGACGATTTCGGCAAGCTTTAGTTAAATTGGTTGGTATTCCATTTCGTTAACCAATTGGTACCTGCAACGTCATAGTAATGACGGAAGACACCATTTTCTTCCGAATTTGTTTGGTAAGTCATTAGAGAGGGGGAAGAGACGAGCCTTAACCTAACTTTTTGTTGTTCGTTGTTCTTAAGTTTTTGTGCCGTGGTATTCTATGGCCATGATTAAAAAACATTCTTTCGTGATTTTTTCTTCTGTGTTTCTGTGCCGTGTTTTTTTGCAATGTCTAAAAGAAAAACTGAAAAGAAATATATATCTTTTAGTAACCTCTTGGCTTACTCGGCGTTTTCTGTAGGGTAGAGTGGGGCAGGTTCGGACGGATTTGGTTAAGGTGATACCGAGCTTTCATTTTAGCTAAACTAAATTTCCAAAAATGCAAATATATTGCTTCATTTGTTTTCAAACCAATACCATAGCAATTTTAGAAAAAACTTGCATCATTTTTCGTGAAAATTAAAAAAAGTTGCCATTTGTCCGAAGGTGCCCCACGGTGGGGTAGTTTTGAACACTCATAGGGTAACTCCAGACATATATGTACTTTTATAAACAGTTCATTTTTTGACAGGTATATTTTAAATAATTTAGCATCTATCTAAACATCAAACCTTATAGTCTAAAGGAACTCCAAACATACGAACCTATGAACTTTGGCACTAGCCTACAAAAAAAAATAATGTAAGAATTTATTTTAGATTAAAAGAACTAAAATTTACGTTGAATTTTAAAAATTTAGCTATGCGAGCATTTCCAGCATGAGAAGTTGATAGTCCGAATGTGCCCCACCCTGTACTGTACGTATGTGCCCCACCCTGTACTGTCCGTATGTGCCCCACATGTACAAAATGTAAAAAAAAAACTAGAAAAAACTAAAAATCATGTCTTGTCGATTCTTGAAATATAGGTTAGTGGTGTGGAACTATCATACTTTTAACGTATACCCCTTTAAAACTTAAAAATTACATCACCAAATCGTGCAAAACCTTACGATTAGAGAACATAATCCTTGGTTGGGATCACTATTTATGTATTTCTGGTGATCACTCCCAAATTACTCAAGATACCACCATAAAATTTTGTCTGGCGTTATAAAGCAGGCACTGGTTCTAACTGTTAAAATGCCGAAACGCCTTTAGTTTTGGAAGGCGGTAAATTCAAAATGTCCGGAGGAGCCCCATGTCCTAACCTGCCCCACTCTACCCTAAATGTAAAGCTTATTCCATTCAGCAAGGTTACCCCGTATCTATCGTTCAAAGCCATTTTTCAAATGATATGCAAATGATCGTTAGGAATTGTTTGGCATGCAGTCAGAATATACAAGGAAACAGGAAGATGAAGGCGAAAAAACAAACAGCTGCTGGATTCTATTTTACGAGTCGAGTCGAAATTCGTATCGAATTGTCAAAAGAGCGATTCTATTTCTATTTTACGATTTTTCGATACGTATTACACGGTACGTGCAGAGCATAACAGACAATTCGACTCGACTCGTAAAATAGAATCCGGGCCCATACTTATTTGTTCAAAAATTTCAAATTCTAACAAACTTGCATTTATTTACGTTTCCAGAGCAGGACAAAATAGGATAGCATTATACCAAACGCCAAGAACCGTGCTGCTGAAAACAGTATCCTATTTGACAGACCAAAAAAGGATACCAGAGTCACGGTGACGTCATGATTTTCATATCCGAAATTGGTTAGTATGCATTTGACAGACCAAGTAAGGTACCAAACTATATACCAAAGCTTGCCGAAGTCGCCTAAAATGTACCAAACGCCCTACAGTCTGAATTCGGATGAGATTGTTGAGCTACGTCACTCGCGTACCAATAGGCACCTTGCATGAAAAATTAAATTGATAACTGTTTATTGCAAACTGTAGGAAATCGGAAAAAAAATCTATACGTATTTTTTTATTATGTCCAAATATGAATATTCCGAAAAATATACAAAGATTAAGTTTTGTATATATAGATATACTCAGCATGGAGTGATGTCATAGGATATCAAAAATAAGCACATTTCAAAGCATTGTATCTCCGTCAATTTTATCTGGGGCGAAATCGCCTCGATGGTTGCAAATAAAAACTGGTTCTATGTCATTTTTGGTAAATTTTCAATGTTCAATAAATTCAATTTTGAAGCTTCTCAGGTACAAAACTGTTAAAACCAAATCAAAATCTCAATAAATAGACGTGTAGAGAATTTAATTGTCTTTAATTAGAGCTTAAACACATTGAAATCAGAAGGAAATTTACGGAGCTGTGAGGGAAAAAGTGACTGTAAAAGAACATTCTAGAAAACTAAGTAAGCATTCGTGGACTCATGTTTCTATTAACTTTTTTTTTTATTTCAATGATTATTCATCTTAGAACGAGGGGTAAACCATCTTGGAATTATAGTGTACAATCATGTGGGATTCCAGTAGGATTCTGTGGGATTCATCGAGGAATTCCATTGGATTTCAGTAGAATTCTGTGGGATTCCAGTAGGATACCGTGGGATTTCAGAAGGATTGCGTAGGATTTCGTTAGGATTTTGTGGAATTCCAGTATGATTTCTTGGGATTCTAATGTACCTACACATTTTCCAAGGTGATTTACTCCTCGTCTTAGAAAATTGATCGCACAATTCAGAAACACCCTGTATAGTATACCAAAAAAAAAGGTTAAGAAATCTTGCAAATCAGGTAAATTTACATTGGTGATGGTCATTTTCAGGTATAAACCCTATTTAACAAAAGAATCAGATTTTGAGTTGAGAAACGATTCTATTTGTTGCCTAATATTTTAACCACGCCCTATATGATGCTAAAATAATTGTTCTATAAAATGTCTGCATCCTGAATGATCTCATCCAGATTCCAGTAAGCGCTAGACAAGTTCAAATTATAAAAATATTACCCAGTTGAAACTCGCCTCTAGAATATCGAACACGAGCAAAATTTGCATTACCGTCGTCAGACCTTGACAGCAAATTGAAACGATAGCAACTAGTTTTGCATTTAATTAGTTTTACAGATATGTCGTCGCAATTCTGCATAAATGTCGGCAAATTATGATACTCGATGAAATTTACAGTTTAGCAAAAAAACGTACGGCAAGTGCCAAAAACGATTCAATTCTCCATGGACTTTGTGTCGATAGTCAGACATTTTATTCCCTTTACGGATAGTAATTTTAAGTTGATTGGAAAATTGGTTGATTGTACTAATGAAGGACATTATTGCCTGACTCATAGATTTGGATAAATTTTTTCTCTCCACTTCCTAGAGCTTTTGAAAAATCAAACTCTTTTGAAGAATTTCTATAAAACTTCAAAGTAAAAATACACATGCAATTATTTGTCTCAAAATCGGTTAAAGCTTTTCAGAGCGTAACTTCAATAATAATAAAAATATTCCGTTACAAGTCCATTAGTTAACTAACAATCCATAAATATTAAATTGGTTCATCAATTTCAAACACAAGCCAAACATATTAAGCGATTCCTTCATAGTTTATAACAGGGCCTTATCATCTCGATGCATTTCACAGGAAGAGGCAACATATACATGCACGCACACAAGTGCTCCAACTAATAAATCTCAAAGTGGGCCCCAGAGCAGTATAATATACAACATTACCCATGCAGCCCAGGAGATAAAGGTCTTTGCCTTTGTAATGGCTACAGTGACTCGGTTGCCAACTATATGAAATGAAAGCAGCACACAATAATAATCGTGTGTGTATTTGTATTAAAGTAAAGTATAAGAGAGGCCATATTTACGTCATGCAAATTCCTGGGACGTTATTCGGTGTTAACGTTGACAATTCGACCCGGTGAGTAACCGCAGGATGTTGAAAACTGTATTCGAATTTTTAAGGTTGTTTGAGATAAGATAACAGAGAATAACTAGAAAAATGTATCGGCGACGTAAAAATCTACGTCAGCAAACATCCGAGTAATTTGTGATGGTAAATCGAAGGTCAGCTTCAACTTATCCTACTTGAAAATATGTCATTACTGGGAGTTCAGTTCAAGAAAATTTTGTAATTAATTCGAAGATTATAGTGACATAATTTTAGGCCTTCCTACATATACTGTATTAGACATGCCATTTATATGTTCATATTATAATCTGAAATCCCTGCATTGTCCAGGAATTTCAGGATTTGAACCATTGTTCACCCACATAAGGAAATTCTTCTCTATCACATACTTATTTTGTTCCCTATTAGTTTTTTTTTTTACAAAAAAGAATTTATTCAATGTCAAATTATATCAATAAATTTGGCTTTATTTTCTATTTTAGTTTCTTCAATCACTTGAGAATGATTAAAGAATAGATGCAACTAAAACAAAAGACATATACACGAGGTTGAAAATCCATATTTTTAGAATTCCTTCAAGTTTGTCACCCATTCTTTTACTATTCAGAATTAATTAATGCACTCGAAATTTATATGGGATTTCCTGTCCCGCCTGGCCTGTGCGACTGCTTCGACTGACTTCCTGTATGACTTGCTTGATAATAATCGAACAAGTTTCGTGATTTATCACCTTACAAAATAGTTTCTCTGTCTGAATAAACCATTACTCTCAGAAAACAAAAATATATAATCTTGTTGGCAATAATAAATAAGTAAGTATGATTATTCTTACCACATGGACGCTGCTCTGTATAGAATCCTGTTTTTTGTCTTTGGCCTTGGACACCCGTTTGGCTTTGGCGTCCAGAAAGCGTTGCTTCAAGTGGAGAGTGTCCTGCAGGTTCTGCTCGCACAGTCCTGTAAAGGACTGATCGAAGCGCGGCATGCAGTCGGTTTGCCTTCTTCTGTAGGACTCTATACGTCTCCGTAATCTTCAAAAAAATACTCACTTTAGAAAATGGAAAATTACACAGAAATTGAAAAAAGTCAAGAGAATAAATCTAATATGATTTAACCCTCCTAACTGTGCTTGCAAACTAAAAACTAGGTACCTGTACCTAGTTGTTTATCATTCTTATCATTATCAATATTCCATGAAAGATCTCTGAAGTCATTAGATAGGTGGGAAGTGATTATTACCTAATTTATACCTGCATTGAGAATGAATGTGCAAATTTAAGCAGGGTTGGCAATAAGCTGGGTTTTTGCATGAATATCTGATTGTGTTGCCTTATGTAACGGCAATTTCTAGCAGTAAAAAGAAAACTTTATTGCGCAGTCACACAGCAAATAATCTTTTGTGATTTTATGTAAGGAGTATAAGGAATTTTTCAGTTAATTCACATATTTTTATTCGGTTTTATCAAAATTATAAGAAAATTACACAGTCATAGAGAGCCATGGAATATCAAAGTTGAAGTGTTTAGATTTCCAAGTCTAGAAGCTGGGAAACTCTCTCTCATGAATGTTTCGCATAATTTATTTCATATTTATTGACAAAACTATTATTTTTTTTCATAATGGTTCTTATTTATTATACAAGCCTAGAGACAAGGATGAAGTACAATAATTATTATCATCATGAACATTCTCAAGGTGACTTGATTATTTGAGGTTTGTATTTTTGAAGAGCCCAAAAAGCAGACTAGTGAAAAATTTATGAGAGATTATTATTTAGCCAAGTCATTATGAGTAGGGTATTTTTCACGATGAAGGGGTGGAGCAAAAAATTCAAGGTTTTTATTTTTGAAGAGTCCAAAAATCAGCAATAATTATGTGTGTATTTTTGTAAAATTCGATAATCAGAGACTCCATTGACATTATTTGAAAATGCTAGAATATATTTTTTTTAGCAAGCGTAATATATGAATGGAGTAAAAAGGAGTAGATTTTAACCCTAAGGGTTGTAAGTATTTGAAAAAATAAGTTTTGGTTTTTCGACAAGCCCAAAAGAAAGCCTGCAGGTTGTCGAGCAAATTGTAGTCTTGAAAAATTGGGATGATTTCTTTCTGTGAAATAGGGTTGAGTTTGGGATTTTAGGGTTGTTTTTGAGAAATTGTTTGGAATTAGAAGCTGACCCAAAAAATACCCCAAAAATTTGGCGTACCTAGTTAAATTTCCTTTTCTTGCGATTTTAAACATTGGAGGTGCCTAGGGAGGTGATGCTTTTGTTGACATATTCTAAAACTTCCACAAAAAAATGAGAAAGTCTATTGTGGATGTGCTAGCTTAATGGAGGGTAATTTGTATATAATATATTTACCTAGTATTATACCTATTATTAACACGAGAAAATACTCATAACTCCAAAGAAGTATTACCCAAAGAAGGTAAAATAGCCTAAGCCATTCTGAGTTATCCAGAATGCCATAATTATATTGTTGAGTGCTTAGCGAGAAAGCACTAAAATTGATCCATTCTATTTTCAAAAACTTTAACAATTTGCAGTATTTCTTATAGGTAATAATGTTAATATTCTATTAAAATATATCTACATATTTTCATGAAAGTAAACACTGAGGCTTTCCCAGCAGTTTTCCTAGAATGGCATAAAGGAAAAACAAAAACTAGTCAAGTAAATCCCAAGCTGATGAAGTGAGAATGATTATTTTTTTTGTGTAAAGCCGATATCCATGCGTTTTGTTGTTGCCACATTAGAAATGCGAAATTTCCATTCAACCGACTGTTAGCATGGATGCCATGGTTTTTCCTATTACCAGGGTTGATAAACAATTTTCTCTACTTAGATTTTTGGATGGATTTTTAATGGGTATGAAACTGAGCGTGTTTTAGAGTGTTCTAATATGTTCATGAAAGTTTCAACTAGTTCTAAAGAGTCAGGTAACGATTTTCAGGGTATTCTTTTCCAGTTCTAGATGCTTTCCCAAAGTTCCGTATAATTTGTACATCTTTTCAAAATACGCCTGGAAATTTTAACTTGGATCTAAACCTTAACTTGAAAGTATCCCAAGCTTTCTTTAATGTTCCTGAAAGTTCGGAAATGTTTTGGTCCGTTTCTGAAATTCTAATTTGATTGTGTTCTGAAGCGTTTTACAATGATCTTGAAACTTCCAATTTGTCTCAAACAAATGCAGGAGGATTGAAAATTGTATTGAAAGTTTTGTCACAAGCGCACTCTGAAGCTTTTCAAAATGCTTTCGAAAGTTTTCAATTGGTTGCCTAATGATCTTGAAGTGACAGAATGTTCTAGAAGTTATCAGAAATCTCCCAAATATTTTTGAGCGATTTTTAGTAGTTCTTGACTCTCGAGGTAGTAAAAAAACTCTCGGACACGTCAATTTCGTATTTAAGGGGGAAACTTTTTGACCCCATCGGCATTTCGCTAGGGTGCACCCCCTGGGTTGGGTGGCTTGACTTTTACCCCTCTTTTTTAGATAGGGAAGATGGGTTGAGTGATACCTTGTTTTAGAGGTATTTTAATTCTCATCACAACTGTGTAGTTTTTTTGAAAATCGAATGATTAGACAGGAAAGTGTTAATTTGAGAATAACAGGGCCAGAAGATTGTTTCCTATTTAGCCCATGGCAACTTTCACTGTAAATATCTTGAGAACTAATCATTCGATTTCCAAATAAAGTACACAGTTGTGACGAGAATCGAAATACCTTTAAAACAAGGTACCACTCGACCCATCTTTCCTATTTTAAAAAGAGGGGTGAAAGTCAAGCCATGCAGGAGATGCACCCTAGCGAAATACTGATGGGGTCAAAAAGTTTCCGCCTCGAATACAAAATTGACGTGTCCCAGCGTTTCTTGTTAAATCGAAAATATAATAAATTGCAAAGCAATTTTTTTATAATTTGAGCTAAGATATGTGAAAAATGGCTAACGCAAATATACTCAATATACAGGGTTAGCTGTTTAAAACAAAACATGCTGAATATTTGATGCCACGTTTATTTTTAAAAAAAATCGCTTGTACACGTAATTTTATTTTCAAATGGGGAAGTTTTCTGCAGCCAGTTTTAGCACTTCCACTTTAACCCTCTAGGTGGGGTGGAACCAAGCCTTACAATTGGAACAAGGGGTCGGGTGATACCTCTTTTAAAAGAGCGTTCTTTCATTTGAAAGAAAATTGAACGCTTTTTTAAAACTAGGTATCACTCGACCCCTTGTTATATTTGGAATGATAAGAGTTGGTCTCACCCCCCTAGAGTGTTAAGTGACCTGAAGATGGTTCAAACACTCAAACAATAATATTCCACGTTAATAGTTAAAAATTTCTCAAAATTCCAAACTTCAATTTTTTTTTTTCAAAATTTCATTTATTTCCATAAGAATTTTTCGGAATTTCACTAAAATTCTCTTTCAATAGTCAGGAATTTTTGGCAATATTAATGAGTAATTTCTTGAAAATTCGCCGAAATTCCTCCGAAATATATTGAAATTTCATATCATTACATGGGAATTTTTCCAAATTTCACCGAAATTCCAAGTTTTTAGCCGGAAATTCCTTGGAATTCCACTTGTGAAATTTTCTCTAATTTCACTAAAATTCAGAATTTTTCGGAATTTCAATTTCACTAAAATGCCATGTTTTTAACTGGGAATTCCTTGGAATAAAAATAAAACTTCATGTAATTACATTAGGATTTTTCGGAATTTCACTGCAATTCCTTATGAAACGATAAGAGTTGTTCAAAATTCCACTTCCTTGGAATTCCATGCAATTGCATCGGAGCTCCATATAATTCGACGAAAATTCCTTGGAAATCATGTTCCATTCTTTATGTAATTTACTTGAAATTTCATGTTGGGAATTTCGGTGTAATTCAATGTAATTGTTTAGAATTCCTTCATGCGTTCATTCAGGATTTCATGTAATTCGATCAAAATTCCACTGAAATTTGATGTAATTTCTCGAAATTTCATGTAATTCAATTCGAGAGGAATTAAAATTTAATGTGAATTCTATGGAAACTCCGCAAAACTTTCACACGTCACATCATAAAATTCAATGGAATTCTTGGAGTTTTTTTTTTATTCGGAATTATAATTTAAGATTTCATAAAATTCTTTGGAATTCCACTAAAATTTTAATTTCTTCCATGGGAATTCCGCGAAAATTTTAGTCCATTCCATAGAAATTCCTCAGAATTTCACCAGAAGATTTTATGGAATTCCTCGAAATTCCATTCAAGTGATAAATTTGAATGGAAAAACGTAAATTCCTAGAAATTTTACTATGTATAAGATTTCATAATACTTTTCCAAATTTCATCATAAGATTCTATGGAATTCCACCATAAAATTTGAATTCTTGCACAAAAATTCCTGGGAATTACACAATGAGATTTCATAAAATTCTTTGGAATTCCATTATCAAGTTATTTCATGGGAATTCCGTGAATATATTAGTTAATTTCATAGAATTTCCTTAGAATTTCACCCAAAGTTTTTTTGGAATTCCTCGAAATTACATTCAAATGGTAAATTTGAATGGAAAAAACGGAAATTCCTAAATATTTTACTTTAAGATATCATAATATTTTTCCAAATTTCACGATAAGATTTCATGGAATTCCACACTAAAATTCATTGCAACTCTTCAAAAAAAATTCCTCGAAATTACACAAAATTTCAAGTTATTCCATAGGAATTCCGCGAAAACATTTCACCAGAAGAATTCTTGGACACATTTTTTTCGGAATTACAGAATAGGATTTCATGAAATTTCTCGGAATTCCACAAAAATTTCAATTTCAAAATTCCATAATTTTTGTTTTTAACTTTACTGAAATTTTCAGATTCACCACTGAAATCTCGACTGAAATATCCTGGAATTCTACAAAATTTTTATAAGAATTTTTCGGAGTTTCACTGAAATTCTCTTTTAATACATAGCCAGGAATTTCTGGGAATATTAACGAAACTTCAAGTAATTTTTCGAAAATTCACAGAAATATACTGAATTACATGGGAATTTTTTGGAATATCACCGAAATTCCAGGTTTTTAGCCGGAAATTCCTCCTCAGCATTCCACTTGTGGAATTTTCTGGAATTTTACTAAAATTCAGTAAGAACTGAATTTTCATGAAGGGAATTTCAGTGTAATTTCATATAACTGTTTAGAATTCCTCCATGCAATTCATTTAGGATTTTGTGTAATTCGATCGGAATTTCATTGAAATGTCATGTAATTCGAGAGGAACTAAAAGTTAATGTGAATTCTATGGAAACTCTGCAAAAATTTCACATGTAGGTAATTTCTTTTTTAGAATAACATAATTCTACCGAAATTCCCCGAAATTCCACTAAATCATGGAATTCTGAGAGACTAACAGATTTTTGAAGATTCCATTTTGTAGGATTTTATCTCGGATTTTATGCAATTTCAAGAGATTTTGTGAGGTTTTGTTAAATTTTTAAGGATTTTAAAGATTTTTAAGGATTTTAAAGATTTTTAGGGATTTTGAGTAGATCTTATGAGATTTTCTGGGATTTTGACCAATTTGTACATGGATTTTGGCCAGTTAACCACCCGTCGGGCTCATCCTATTTACAGCTATTTTGGTTTTGTCAAATTTAGAGCTATAATACAGCTCTCGATACAGCTTGGATGATAAACATCGAGTTTTTGAGTATTCCAACTATCGGATTTATATTTTTTTGAGTCTCAGATTTAGAGAACGATTTGAGAGAAAGTTTCATTGCGAGCCTCATTGGCTCATAACTTTTGGACCCACGTTTTGAATTCCTCCAGTCTAGAGCAAGAATGTTGGTGTAGTGGAGTGTCTTTTTCCCATTCCTACTTTGATTTTTCACTCCAAATTTGTCTATTCCAGACTACTAAATTATGAACATTTAAAACAAATTCAAGAGCCTGGAATAGGAAAATTATTTTAATAATGTGGCTTATTGTTGGTATCCTGTATAATTCTTTATATGTATAATTTATTGTTTGAAATAATCCTAGATTTTCGATTGATATTTGTTAATCTGTGGTCACTAAGTATGACAGAAATGAGTATTTAATAAAAAAAAATTCCAAATTAGGGCAGTGAATAAATATTTCTCTATGAGTGGGTTTTTCTGTATGCCAACTGCCAACCCTTGATCAAGAGAAAATGCACATGTTGTGTTAAGGAGATAACTTCGGAAGTTGTGTTCTGGCTGTGCACTTATGCTGGTACCTATTCTATGAAATCCCTGAAAAACTAGGGAGATCTAGTGACATCTTGGAAAACTTGAGGAAATCTAAAGAAATCTTCGGGGGATCTCGGGTAAACTGTGGATATCTTGTGCATAAAGATATCTCTTGTACACTTAAATATGTTATGACTAACCACTCGCCTGTAGAGTTCTTTGAATGAGTTTTTCTATTTTGCCAACTTCGCAATACAAAATAACTAATATTAATTTCATATTTCATCATTCATTCTTACTAAGATCATGTTTAAGGATCATGAGAGTAAAATTATAAAAGAATCAAGATTACACAGAGCCATATCACAATAATAATGATTCATTCATACTTGTATCATCAATTTTACACTTTAATTGATATTGTTAATAATTTGAAAAGTTCTTACCTCTCAACTACGGCTTGTTTAGGGGTAACTTCACCATGGAGCTGAGGCAGTCCCGGGGGCTGTGGGACGACGGAGGGAAGTGTCCCACCGCCGTCGAGGCAACCCCCTGGTCCAGAGCTAGCTCGATCCAGTGTGTTGATCTCGCCTGCGGTCTCTGTCACATTGCTCTTCTTCAGAAAGTAGTACAGTTACCGTATGACATAACCTCACTCGATATATTTTTTTTTTCTTTTGAATTAATTCGACTATAGTATTTTATCTTTTTGGAATTGCGTACATTTTTAAGATTGTTACATAATAGTAATTAATTGATGATAAAAATAATTACGTAGTTTTAATTGATCAAATATTTTTGTGGTGAATGTTTATTTGTTTATTTTTAATTTAACTCAAAAGTTGTTGTTTTGCACTTAAAATGTACATTTTCAAACGAAAACCGTTATAAATATTCTACAAATTCAATTGTACTTTTTTTTTCTCACTGATGTAATAATGATTATGTCCATTTGTAACTTTTCAGTCAAAACAAAAAAAAAATCTGTTCAACAGGTTTTTATTCACTCACTTGATCCAGTTGGCCATGGATCATGCTAAAAATACTTGTAACCTATTGACCTTACAGTGTACAAGTCCACCAGGAAATCTATTTAAATGACGTTTGTTTGTTGAAAGAAGACAAAATAATTTTCAAAACATCACAGAAGGCAAGAAAAACAGTGGACGATTTTCAAATAAAGTAACCGATTTCTACACTAAAATTCGTCACCCAAAACAATAAAGTCACAACGTTCTCATGGACATTCACTTTTCAAACAATACACAATAGTTTGTTTCAAAACAAATTCATTGAAAAAACATTACAGAAACGTTCTCTGCTTAGCAACCGCAGCCATTTTTCGGATGATGCGTTGCGTCGTTCGTCGAACAGTGCAGCCACCTGACGACACATGCTTAAAATCATGGATTTGTTTGGTATAGTGTGGATGGTCGATGGGTCGAAGGGGTGGGCAGGGAAGGAGCGAAGGGCATCATAAAGTTGGTCGGTGAAGTCGCGTGCGCTCGGCATTTACCGATTTTCTTCTACCTAGAATTGTACCGGGGAGCATTGAACAATATACTGTAAGAGTTCAATGTTCATGCTCCAGTTTACCGTTGCTCTACGGGGTCAGTTCAATAGAAAAATTTCTACAGATTCAACCACAAACTTTTCAAATCAAAGGCAACTATCATAAAATTTCACTATTTTGGTTTCGACATTGAGTGAACTGGTTGAAAAGCAAATATGTTATTAAAGAAAACAAAAATTATTAATCTTATTTGTAGATATTTATTTAAATTTATTTGTGCGTGTATTCAGGGCTTAATGGAGTCAACGGCCTTGCACTATTGCACAATCGAGCAAGCCAAAAAAACTCATCCATCAGTTGCAAATATCGATACTTGGATCATCTAGCTTTGCTCACGACTATCGATATATGTAATTTTAACCGATATTCTAGTAATCGATATTCGCAGTATATCAAAATTATTAATATTTACGACTAGGGTTGCCAGATTGAAATATTTACAAATCGGGTATACCAATCAAAAAGCTGTTAAAAAATCGGGACTTTGGTTAAAAATCGGGACACTTTTTTTCTCAAGGAATAATTTGATATAAAAATAATGCTGAACAATAAAGCACTGGACAAATTGGGGCTTAAATAATGAGAAAAGGGCTAAAATCTGGATAAAATGGAAAATATGAGACAAACCCAAACTAAATTATTTCCAAAAATGTTCACCTTTTATTAGTAAGAATCGAAATGGACAAAAATTCCATTCTTTTACACCAACAGAAAAAGAACCTGGATATCTCCAGACTCCAGACAGTATGATATCTTACGAAATAGAGACTACGAGTTGAGAAATAAAATCAAACTCGGGGTTGACAAGTAGGTACAATTGAAAAATAAGTAAGTACTTTTAATTTTTTCTAACTTTTAAAAGGATTTTGTGAAATCGGGACATTTAGCGTCCCGACGTATAGTCCATCGGGACACGGGACAAAGTCTCCAATATCGGGACTGTCCCGTTAAAATCGGGACGTCTGGCAATCCTATTTACGACCAATAGAAAATTTAATACGGCAAAATTAAACATGGCGATTTGCAACATGAGGACTAAGATTGGTTCCCGATTAAACCAAAACGAAGCTGCTTTGCTTTGGTAACTAGCAAGCGAAAAATCGATAAAACGAATAATCTTGACTCAATGGCGAATGTAATGAATGTAATTAATTCAACTGACATGAGATTCATGAGAACCGTTATATCTCATTGGGTACATTCAGGCGGTCCCAGCGGTTTAGCTCAGCCTCTCAGCAGGAACCTTATTTTCGAAACCGAGGAACAGCGTTCTTATTGGAACGAAGATTCTGTCTTTGTCGTCCAGCATAACACTGACAATGACAGAGTAATCGTTCTTATGAGAACGCTGTTCCTTGGTTTCAAGAATAAAGTTCCTGTTGAGAGGCTAAGCTAAGCCGCTGGGACTGCCTGAATGTACCCATTCTCACTTGCGCGAAATTCGCTATTTCATGACAGCTTCAAAAATTTGACGTTTGATACACGCATAAAACATCAAATTGTCCAAGAAATGTCAAAGAAAGAGCGAATTTTGCGTAAAAAGAGCGAATTTCGCGCAAGTGAGAATGAGGCATTATGCTTCATTCACAGTTGCGCGAAATTCGCTTTTTTTGCGCGAAATTCACTCTTTTTTTGACATTGCTTCGACAATTTGACGTTTGATACACGTATAGAACGTCAAATTGTCGAAGCAATGTCAAAAAAGAGCGAATTTCGCGTAAGTGAGAACTAGGCATAAAGCTTTAATTCTCAGTTGCGCGAAATTCGCTCTTTTTTGACACTGCTTTGACAATTGGACATTTGATGCATGCATAAAACGTCAAATTGTCAAAGCAAAGTCAAAAAAGAGCAAATTTCGCGCAAAAAGAGCGAATTTCGCGCAAGTAAGAATGAGGCATTAGAACCGGTTATACAACTCACTGTACATTATTCCCATATGACACGAGAGGCTTAATAAGTGATAAGCCTTTTGGGATTATCGCGCTTGGTGGCATTTATGGGAAATTCTATTATAGAAATTTTTTAAAATTTTAAAGTATCAAAGTTTAGTTCGTTGTATAACCTTTTGAATACCACTCGATGTTGCAGGATTACCTAATACTTTCACCTGACACTCAACGCGTTAAGGCCGTTTTACAGCTTGCAAGAAAACTTGAATGCAATTTTTTGCATACAAAAAAATTGCATTCAAGATTTTTTGTACGTCGTTTTACAATTTCACCTGTTTCCTTCTCTAACCTTAACCATACTTTTTTGTTTTTAATTTTGTGTTGTTGATGTTTGCATTTTCCAAAAATGAAAAAAGTGAATATAAGTCGATATAAAAATAAGAAAGCAATTGCCGCCACTTTAAGCATCATAATTGCTAAAAATTCCCCAGCTTGCGCGAAAACTTTCAAGAAAAATGGCACCAAACCGATTGCATGCAATGCCATTCAAGTTTCAAGAATCTTGCAGAAAACAATCAGCTGGCTCACTTCTGCGCATGCCCTCGTTCAAGTTTCTTGCATATTGCAGATAGAATTGCGAGCTGTAAAACGGCCTTTAGCAGCAACACCACTCCTCCTTCGGAGTCGTGGTGTTGCTGCGTAACGCGTTTCGTGACAGGTACAAGTATTAAGCCTAGTACTCATAACTGCGAAAATCGCATTTTTTTGACATTGCGTTGATAATTTGACGTTTTATGCGTGTATCAGACGTCAAATTGTCGAAGCAATGTCAAAAAAATGCGGATTTCGCAGTTGTGAGTACTAGGCTTTATCCGGTAATCCTTAAACCTCTTGTGGTATTACATTCGATAATTTCTAGTCGATCAATCATTTGTCAAGCAGGATAAACGTTCAATTTATTGAAAAATGGGTGGGCAACTGGAAATTACTGGTTCTGAAACGGTTCTCATGTCGGTTGGAACAGAGCTAATGGCAGTCATGAGCATTGAGCATAAAAAATGGGACACCCGACTATCAGCTCTTGTCATTTTTCGCTATTTTGGTAAATCCTCAGAGGGTAAATCCCAAGAATCGTAAACTCTACAGGATTGCTCAATCCCATAAGACAAACGTTCATAAAAACATCGAAGATGGCGGTATGCGAATGACGTCACGCAGTCCTTGATCGGTTTATGTTTTATTATGACAGTGCACTTTCCTTGCATTTTCAAACGTGAAAAATTGTTATTTTGAGGTTATTTCTTTTCTTGAGGCTTGAATGGTTGGCTAATTAGGAAGACGAGTTTGTTTGCTTTTGCTTATCAGCAAGGTAATTTCAAAATACCCACATAAATATTATATTGAAATGAGCATGCATTTCCTTTAGGTAGCTTTTCTTAAGGCAACAACACGGTACATTTATAAAATAGATATGCCTGGAATGAGATATGCTGTGTATGGGTGTAATAACAACTATTTGATCGAAAAGCAAGCAGTCAAAAATGTAAATTTCATCGCTTTCCTAAAGGAAAAAAATTTGTTTCCAAAACTATTCAAAACTAGTATGGATACCTAGTTTTTTTGTAAAAGAAAGGACAAACCGAATGCAGATACATTTTTTGCATTTCATTATCAAAATATAAGCGAAATGTTGCAATAGTGTGTTTTATTTTTTACTGTCATCTCTTCTTACTTCTCAATTATATTATTCAATACTTTGATAGGTACTAGAACAATTCAATATGGACATTCAAAGTAAGCTTAGCTCACGAAGCCAAATTGTGATACCTACACTTTATTTTTTCCCAAGATAGATTTTGACATTGAAAACTTTGAAACATAAACAATAACGCTTCACCCTGATTAGTCACAAAATGAGGTGTTTCTGCAGGTTGACATCAGTTTTACAATAGCGACCAATAAGCGGCATTGTTTATGTTTCAAAGTTGACAATGTCAAAATCTATCTTGGAAAAAAATAAACCATAGTTTAGATTTTCATAATCAGAATCCAGAAAAACACTGCAAGTTTCCCATATTTTCCATGCGTTTACATAGTAAACGCGCCAGTAAAGGAATTTATTTACATATTTATTTATTCACTCTTCAAACACTAATTTTTAGTAATTAAATGCAAAGGAAACTTACAACTAAGTAGATATTTGATTTACAAAAAAAAACAATACAAATGCTTGACTAGGATTAGGAAATACTAACAGTAGAAAACTAAGCAATACACACGAATAAAAGAAAGCGATGTCCTGATACAACAAAACCAATGTTACAAAACCACTAAAACCAGAAAATGTTTGGGGTTTCCGCGAGTAATGAGTCTTTTATGCGTACACGCATTAAATGAAACATCAAATTATACTTATAACACTTGATAAACTTGGAATTTCCGATTAAATAATTGTCAGCACAAACTGAATATCATTCGTATCAGCGGCCATCTTGAAAATCCGGGATGCACGTGACGTCATAGCAATTGTGAACAAATTTAGCCGATTGAGCAATCCTGTAGAGTTTTAAATCCAAGAATGGGTAAATCAGTCTTTTTTCTACAATGGATTTTTTGTCAAATATGACAATCCCTGTCATTGCCGTAGGTATAGCTGGGGTGCGTTCAAAGACGGCAATGCTAATGCCAAAACCAATGAACTAGAGCTAAAAACTGGAATGCGCACACAGTGCCATGTCTGCCAAAAAAATGAAGCCATGAAAGACAGATGCCACAACGGGGAATGTTGTCTTTTTCTGTTGCTCGCTGACATATGACGTTTTCGAAAGTTTTGTCATATTTTCCTTCACAGGTTTCATCAATTGGAATACGTGTTGGAAGCAATTTTCGCCATTTAACATAATGAGTGCGACAAAAACAGGTATCCCCTCCGCAGCAGCCGCACTAGGCTTCACGTTCGTCCTTATGTGTTAGCATTCCAGTTTTTGGTTATAGTTCATTGGCCAAAACTTACTTTTCCCGCTCCACCGGTAATGCCG